ACAAACTGAAAAATCAGAAGTTCCAAGATGCGGAATCATGTTGACACCCAAATGGATCGTCAGCGGGGTTGGAACCTTTAGATCTGCCACCCAAACCTCTGCCACTTGAGCTAATGGCATAACTGACAGCAGTAGTATGTTGTCATCCTCTTTGTGGACCAGCACTAGAGGGGAATCAAGATTTTTTTGGAGGGTTTGACAAATATTTGCAGACAGCAGGGGAATGGCAAAACTCAGGGATACTGGGTTTCATTCCAGGTCTGGAGAAGTGTGTTCTCTATTGGTCACAGACCCCTCTCCCTCACTTCTCCTAACCCCTTCAGCCCCCTCCCCTCCAACCTGTCCCAGTCCTGTCTCTTCCCCATCCCTTGCTTTTGTGTCCCAGTCCCATTGTTCTTCTCTACCCAGTTCCAGTCTCCACTTCTCAAGCTTCTCATCCCCAGGCCCAGTCTCCTGGACAAGCCAGTCCAAGACTTCACCTCTGGCTTCCCCTGCCAATTTCCCCCCGTTCTCTGTGCTTTCCCTCCCCTCTGGGGTCCTCAGCTGATTTGTTTCTCACACTTATCCCTGCCTTGAGTTGTCCTGTCTTCCCCAAGCCCCTGTTTCTCTCCTTGGATGCCTCATGCAGTCTCAGGGTTTCTCTCTACACACACTTAGCTTGTGTCAAACTGGGGTGTAAATTTACCTCGCACTAGCCTGCTGCACACTCAGTGTCCACATGGAGCCTGCTGCTGCGCACTAACTGTTCCCTAGTGCTTGGAAATGGGAGAGATCAAAGCACACAAGGGAACTGCTAGGGCTTCTCTTCGCTCCCACACTAAATCAGTGCCACTGTATCCATGCAGCGGCACCGATTTAACGCGTCTGGTGAAGACGCATTATGTCGATGGGCGAGCGCTCTCCTGTCCACATAATTAGTCCACCTCATCGAGAGGCAGAAGCTCTGCTGACATAGTGTGATGAAGACACTGCTTTAAGTCAATGTAAGTTACATTGCTGGGGGTGGGGGGGCGGTGTTTTCACACACCTGAGCAATGTAACTTACATCAACTTAAGCAGTAGTGTAGACAAGGCCCCAGTGCTCAGCTACACCGTCCACATGGACACTCGGTGCATGGCAGGACAGTGCAGGGTAGATTTACACTCCAGCTTGCCACGCACTAAATATTCATGTAGATCTGCTCTCAGTCTTCCACACCCCACCCTGGCTGCTTATTCCAGTCTCGTCACCCAGTTAGTCTTAGACTCCCCTGACACCCTGGTTCCTCATCTGGTCTGTTTCCTCACCCACCTCCAGTTCCTTCCCATTGGTTCCCAGTCCCAGACTCCTCCCCCAGTCAGTCCCAGTCTCCCCCAGCTCCTTGCTCAGCATGTCACAGTCTCTCCCCACCCACTCCCTGTCCTAATTGCCCTGCCTAGCCAGTCCTAGTCTCTTGCCCCCTCCTCCCAGTCCCAGGCTCCTTGCCCAGGCAGTCCCCATCTCCTGCTTTCTTTTCCAGTCCCACTTTCTCTCCATCCACCAGCCTCCAGACTCAGAATATTCCCCATACACCCTTATCCTCATCTACTTTCCCCTGCCACCCGAGTCTGCATTCAGTTCAGGTAGCTTCCTCCTCACACTGCCTGGGCCCAATAGGTGGATACAGTCTCCCTCATCTCCGTTCTAGTGACTGGTACCACTCTGGCCCACAGCAGCCGGGAGCAGAATTTCAGCATAATTTTATTGGTTACACATCTTGCCACTGTGCAGCCCCTCTTCAGGGACCGTCACCTTCTTGCGGTGAAGGGGCTTGTGTGCTCCAATGATCCTCAGAGCTATGTTGTCAGGAGATTCATTTTTCTTCAAATTTGGTATAAGAAGAGGATTCCGGAAGACTTGAGAAATGCCAACATTGTTACAATCTTTAAGAAAGGAGATAAACTGGAGTGTGGAAATTATTGTGGCATTGACTTGCAATCTGCAGCAGGGAAAATTCTTGCCCACATCCTCTTAAACCGATTACTTCCCCTTGCTGAGGAAATATTGCCGGAATCTCAGTGCAGTTTCACACCATCCTGCTGGACAACCAATATGACCTTCCTTGCCCACCAAATCCAGGAAAAGTCTCGGGAGCAAAATCAGGACCTGTACCTGGCTCTCATTGATTTGACAAAGGCCTTCGATTCTGTCAATCATGAAGCCCAGTGGAAGGTGCTGGCCAGATTTGGCTGCCCTCCAAAATTTATTAAGGGCCGAAGGCGTCTTCATGGTGAGATGACTGCCACCGTTCTCTGTAATGGCCTGGAGATGGATCCTTTCATCGTCAAAACTGGGGTTAAGCAAGGATGTGTTATTGCCGCAATCCTGTTCTCCATGTATTTAGCAGTCATTTTGGTCCTTGATAAAGACCTCCTCCCCACTGGAGTTGACATTCAATGTAGAATGAATAGGCTGTTTATTAATCTTTGACATTTCCGCTCAAAGTCTGAAGTCCTCAGGGTGTCCATTACTGTTCTTCAAAATGCTGATGACTGTGTCATTGTCACGCACACTGAAAATGACCTTCAGTCCACTGGATTTTTTTGCATAAGCTTACCGAAGCCTACAACTCTCACTCAATATCAAGAAAACGAAAGTGCTCCATCAGCCTGCTTCAGGCCTTGCACATGAGCCACCACAAATCACCATCGAGGGACAGACTTTGGAGAGCGTTGAGGACTTCTGTTACCTCGGTAGCCAACTTTCTCAAGATGCAAAAATGTGCAGTGTGATCCAGCACAGGATCCATTGTGCAAGTGCTTCCTTTGGGAAACTGCTCTGGCGCGTTTTCACAGACTGTGACCTACGGGAGGAAACCAAGATCCAGGTCTATGAGACAATTGTTATTCCTACACTCCTTTATAGACGCAAAACCTGGGTGACCTATCGACAGCACCTCAAGAGTCTGGAGAGGCACCACCCACGATGCCTCTGGAAGATCCTTTGCATCAAGTGGGAAGATCGCTGCACTAACACCAGCATCCTCATTGAAGCGAATGTCACCAGCATTGAAGCAATGATCCTCACTCACCAACTCCGCTGGGCTGGACATTGTGTGTGGATGCCAGACTCTCGTCTCCCAAAACAAGCCCTCTACTCTCAGCTCACCCATGGTCAGAGATCCTGTGGTAGTCAAAGGAAACCCTGCAAAGAGACACTGAAAGCGTATCTCAAGAAAACTCATCACAAGCTGGGAGGAGCAAGCAACCAACCGATCTCAGTGATGCCACATCCTCCAACAGGCAGTGGCCCACTTTGAGGAGAAGTGCCTTGCCCTCGAAGTTGAAAAGAGAGAGGGAAGGAAGGAAAGAAAAAGAACTTTCTCCCAGCAGGCAGCTGACCCGTCAGGCAACATCAGTATGTACTGTGGGCAGATCTCTGGTTCCAGGATCAGACTCCTGAGTCATCTCAGGACCCATCTGTAAATCTGTGGTGGAGATCATCCTCGAATGGAGGGATCGCCGATGATGGTGATGCTGCTTCTGCAACCAATGAGGCTGTAGGCCTACAGACAACAGCCTCTGTCACAGTGCAGCCCTGATTCACTCCCTGGGCACCATCCAGCCTGTGCACTGACTGAGGCAGGGACCTTGGCAGAGGAGAATGTTTTGGCAAAGTTTGGTATTAATCCAACCAGAAATGAAAAGTGAAAGCTGGACGAGAAGGGGTTGAGAGAGACAAGATGGGTGAGGTAATATCTTTTATTGGACCCACTCCTGTTGGTGAAAGAGACAAGCTTCTGAGCTGACACACAGCTCTTCTCTGTCAGATCAAACGTTTGTCTCTCTCCAACAGAAACGGGTCCAATAAAAGATATTACCTCACCCACCTTGTCTCTCTAATATCCTGGGACTAACATGCCTACAGCAACACTGCATATCAGAAGACGAAAGTTTTCTAGTATTCTGTCAGAACAGCATCTCTCAAAAATTGCTTGGTGCACAAACGTCTCTCTTACAATATGTGTTTGTTCTCAGTGATATCTAGTGCACAAGGCTAGTTTGTTGACGGCTGGCTGGTTATTTCTGGAATAATTCTGAATGGGCCCAATCCTGCATCCTTTATTCTGCTTCTACTCAGTTTGTACAAAGCAAACTCACATTACAGTCACTGGCTGATTGCCTGAGTAAGGAATCCTGGGTTTGTCCCTTTGAGCTGGCCCTGCACCTCTATCCAGGGAAGAGGAGGCTTAGTGATGATATTATTCCTACTAAATGTTAAAAAGAGAGGAGTTAAAAATAAAACATCATGGGTCTGTAGTTGTAATGTTAACTATTCAGTCACAGTAAATGTCTCCATAATATGCTATTCCTGTGCTGTGTAGGGTAGAGTTATATGTTTGGCTGAGCTCTCTATGCTACGCTAGATCGACAGGGTATCTCAGATTTTGAAATTTTCTATTACTGGTTGGTCCAAAATGTGAGAAGTAACAGAGCAGACGGGGGAGTGCTCTCGGCTACATCTAATTCTGGCCAAGCTGGGAGAATCTGCCCATTCCTTGGTCACCCTATGAGGGTTGTAAAGGGGTTACATAAATGCCCCGTCCTCTGTACTTCTGCGGTTGGCTGTCTGGGTCTGGATTTTGGCATGAGTGTAACATTTTTAAAAGTGCCGCAGTGACTTAGGAGCCTAAGTGACATTTTCCTTTTTCATTTTCTCTCCTATCTGCATTTTAGACCCATTCTGTGGGAAAGGGAAAGGGAAAGGGAAAGGGAAAGGGAAAGGGAAAGGGAAAGGAAAGACGTGGCACAGAAACAGCTGGAGATGAGATAATGAAAATGCTTCACAGTCACACAGGGGGATCCTCGGTGGCCAGTGTCATGAACAGTAATAATTACAGCTCAGTAATAACAATAATGACAGGACTTGCTCTGTTATTTGTTCACCTCTCACTAGGGTCACAGGCACACGATGTCCTCTGGGTTCAAGTCCTTTTGTCTGAGGGGGTTTGCCTTTCAGGACTGAGCTGGCTGATTCTTACCTGAACAGGTCACTCCAGCATCCCAGTCATGATCACAGTAATTTGTTTCCCATCCACTGTTCCTACAGTGCCAGAGAGCAGACTCGGTACCAGCACAGGCAACTTTATCCAGCCAAATTGGTCCAGATCCTGCTCCAAAATGACCCCAGCCAGGGGCACCAACAGCAGCTCCACATCCCAACTGCTTACAGACAACCCCAGCATCTGTCACGTCCCAGTGATAACTACACACTGTCCCCCACCGATCCTGGTGTTTAACCTCCACTCTCCCAGAACAGGGACTGCCTCCATCCGCCAGCCTCAGCTCATCGGCACCTTCAAAGAGAGACACAGAGCAGGGTCAGAGCGAGCAGGGAGCCCCCTCCCCAGCGTTATAACAGCAGAGTCCGCGCCCGGCAGCAGGGGATCCGCGCCCAGAGCCAGGAGAATGGGACATACCCAGAGCTGCCTCATGGCGCCATCTTCTCATGTCTCAGGGCCTCACACTCGGGGCTGTCACTGCTGCAGCTCTCGCCATTTTATCCCCACTCTGGCGATTTGGGGTGTTTTTACCAGTCTCGTGAGAACACGATGAAAGGCGCCAACTCATGGAGTTTCCCTTATTCCAAATGGTGCCATCTCCTGTCACTGTCACTGGGGCTGAAGCCAGCAAGATGCCGCCATCTCCCTACAGTCTGTCAGCATGTGGGCATATGGACGCCCTGAGTAAAGCTGGCTGCCACTTCTCACTAAAGCCCACTGGGATCATGGCTGTCTCTGTGTGGCTGAGGGGGCTGGAGAGGACCCCAGGACCGTGATGGGCAGCAGAGACCCTGTGAATGGAGGCTGGGGAGAGTGAGGGGAGCAGGGCACTGCGGGGACAGGAGGCAGATTCAAGGGTTGCAAGGGAATGGGGTAAAGATGATGAGTCGGCTGGAGGGAAGGGTGGGGAGGGGGTTCTGGAGCAAGGGGAGGAAAGAGGGTGGGGAAGGGAGAGAGTCTGTAACAGGGGGCAGAAGGGAAAGAGGGAGGAGGGTCTGGAGTGGAGGGTGGGAGGGAGGTCAGAGGGGGTTGGGAGGGAGAAGTGTGGGAGGGTGTCTGCAGTGGGGTTTAACAGAGAAGCAGGAGAGAGGGTCAGAAGGGAGTGGAGGGGAGGGGACTAGGATCTGAAATTGGGGCAGGAGGGAGGAGTGGAGATGGAGCGGAGGGTGGTCTGAAGGTAGAGCAGGGAGCATGGGGTTGGAGGGGGTTATGGAGCAGGGGGCAGGAGGGAGGGGAGGAGAAGGGGTTTAGAGAAGGGTGTCTGCATGGAGAGGTGGAGAGAGGAGGGGGTCTGGAGAGAGGGACAGGACTAAGAAGTGAGGAGGGGGTGAGGAATCGGGGCAGGAGGGAGAGAGGGGAAGGGGGAGAGCAGAGAGGGGGACAGAAGGAGGCATGGGGAGAAGAGGGAGTTCTAAAAAGGGGGAAAGAAGGAGATAGGGGTGAGGAAGGGTGATCATGTGTAGGGGAGGAGGGAGGGACTCTGAAGCAGGGCAGCAAGAGGGTGAGGAGGGGAGGGGTGTGGCACAGAGGATGGGAGGGAGGGGAGGTAGGCCTGGAGCAGGGGGAGATGAGGGAGAATTGGGGAGGATGGAGGAATCGGGATGGAGTGTGGGGAGTCTGGTGCTGGTAGACAGGAGGGAGGGGAGGGGTTCTGGAGCAGGGGGACAGGAGGGAGTATTGGGGAGGGGAATGGACTCTGGAGTAGGCAGGGGATGGGATCAGGAGTGTGAGGGGGCAGGAGCAAAGGAGAGAAGGGGAGAGGGCTCTAGAATGGGGGCAGTGCTTTCCCGCCTCAGGCAGAGAAGTTGCAGGGGTGGGGTGGGGGAAGCCTAGGAAGTGTTGCTGTTTGCAAATGGCTAAATCAACCCTGTCCTGTTATGGTGACATTATAGCTGAAGGGAATGGCTGATGTCAATGTGACAGTCTCCAATATCTGTAACTTGCCCCTGAACAGTAACATAAGTTCTGTGTGTGAGTGTGAACTACGCTGCATGAATTAGCTCAGTGGCTGTCAAGCTATTTCTCAGTCAGCCCTTCCTCTGTCAGAGGAACTGAACCAGGAGGGAGAGCGAAGGCAGTGCTGGGCAGTTCCTGTCTCAGGGGTGAGGAGAGGGTAAGCGCAGTCTCCAGCTGAGCAGCAAGGGGGAGTCATGCCATTTGGGTGCATTTAACGGTGACTTTTCAGTCTGCAGTTCTCACCCCCACGCTGGCAGAGGAGTAGAGGGGGGTTCTACAGTCCAGAGACAGCCTGAGTATCATGACCGGATGGTTTTTATAACCTCGTAATTTTAGTTCTGTGGAGCTTGGCATTACAGCCTTGTGCTCCCCACAGGAGTTTCCTCTCCCCACCTCCCCACACATTTCGCTCTTCCACTGGTGTCTTCCCACCCACCTCCCCGGGGCTCTTCCCCCTTCTCTTCTCCCCTTTCTACCTGGCCTCTCTGCCCTGCAAGTACAGGCTGCTCCTTCCCCACATGAGAAGCAGACTCTGCCCCCACTCCCTGACATTGGCTTTTCTCCCAGTAGCTCTGAGCTCCACCCCTGCCCCCAGTTGTCTCTACAGCTGTTTGCATTTCTGGGGGTTGTGGAGAGGCAAAGCTGGCTGCTGGGAGGGAGGCAGTTAACAGGGAATGTGAGGAGGGGCCACTGCCTGCCACACAATCCTGGGATATTGGCTGGGAGAACTGGTCCACAGGACAGGGTGTGAAGAGCCAGGACTGTCCCTGAGACTGGGAGCAAGTATGGGCATCATTACAATGCCCAGGAGTTACGGCTACATGCAGAGTTCCAGTGTGACCCCTGGAACAGGCTGGTTGCAGCGGTGGATGGCTGAGCCAGGGACACCGTGTTTATGGAGCCTCCGTGGAGCTCAGAGAACAGTGCAGTTCACACCAGTACGTGGCCAGACTATTCTGCTCTTTTAATGCCAAGGAAATACAAAACGCTCACTTTGCTGCAATCCACAGGGGCATTTATTCAGGTACGGCTCACTTCAGTATAGTCCCACATGCAACCCATGGGGCCTGGTCTGCACTAAGAAAAATAGGGACTTTTTTTCAACGGAGTTAACTCCGTGATGTTCACTTGTGGCAGGACCCAAGGCTGCAACACTGCTCTAGCTAAGTGCACACACAGTTCTGTTTCCCTGCACCCAGTAGAAACTAAGAAATCCCCCAGCCTGCCCCTCCAGTGAGCTCCAACTGGCTTTGTTTCTTTTCTGCTTCCAAGATCCCGGTCACAACTCCTTCTACTGGCTTCTCCCCCAACAGACACAGTCTGACGCCAGTATCCTGCCCCTGCATTGGCAACAATGGAAACCCCTGGCTTAGCTCTGCCCTGCCCATGTGCCCAGTGCCTTTGGCAGTAGCCCCCACTGCCTGCAGCTGTTTTTACTACCTAAAGGATCTTGATTGCTCCGTCTGTTGAGCCTAAAAGAGAGTTCTCGCCCTGCCATTGGCTTTCATGAGGTCTGTGATTGTCTTAGGATCGAAGACTCCCCAATGGCAGCCATCAGCACCTTTCAGGATAACAATCACATTTATATACTGCACCTCTCATATGCTGGCTCCACTTCTGTGACCCAACTTGGAATAATGACCCCACCCAGCACTCTGAACGTTGGGGAAGTTCGGATTCATAGATACTAAGGTCAGAAGAGACCATTATGATCATCTATTCTGACCTTCTGCACAACGCAGGCCACAGAATCTCACCCACTGACTCCTGCGAAAAACCTCTCACCTATGTCTGAGCTATCTGGGTCTGGGAGTGAGACCTGCAGCTGTGGCCCATCCTTGATATATTCTCATTTGTTGGCCTGAACCCCACTGAATTTTACAAAATTTGTTTTCCCGCACACTGTAAAGAGGTCAATAATTGTGAAACACAATCCTCTGGCCAAGATTGACCTGGCTTCTACTCAGGGCTTAGGGAGGAGAATTGGGGCACTGAGGGAAACGGAAGAGTAGCTATATGGTGATATCCCTTATGTTGTAAACTCCCCCACATCACTGTGTCTGTGTCATGTGAAGCAAACTCAGATTTCCAATAGAAAATAAAAAAAAATATAAAAGAGATGATGCACATTTCCTCGGCAATCAAACAAAAATACTTTGAGCTGAGCATGTGCTTGGCATCACTATAGGACGTTATCCCACAAATAGCTGGAGAGTATTTTATGCTCCCCATGTCACTGTGGCTGCATCATGTGAAGCAGTCAAATTTCCCATAGAAAATAAAAATAAAGATATTCAGGGGATGATGCACATTTGCTCATAAATGCAACAAAAATACACTGAGCTGAACATGTGCTTGGCATCACTATATGACACCATCCCACAATCGTGCAGCAATTCATCCCTCGCGTGGTAATAATTGTCCGTCCCCTGCAATGTCAGTCTGATCAGCAGAAGTCACCCCAGAATTCCATGCTTTCCGGTCATGTACCGCTGTGTCATGGGCTCTAATCCCAGCACGTTATATAGGAACTTCTTGGGAATCTGAAATATAAACTCCAAGTCACCTGCTAGAGGGTTGGTTTTGTCAGGATTTTCTGGGTTCCAGCCCCCTACTCACCGCACAGTGACTGAGCTGTCTGTGAAATATACATCAGGGCAGGTTTTTCTCAAAGACAATAATTTAGACTGACCTTGCTGATTATCAAGGTCAGGGTCAGTTTCTCAGGCTGGCGCAGCAGCACATCGGGTTCCCATGAACCAGCTACTGCTGAGCAGTTCACTGCCCTGCCAGACACATGGATCATTCTCGTGCTGCTAACACCAGCCCAGCAGGTTCCAATCACTGCATTATTTGAATCATATCTGGGTCCCACATTCAATTTGAATCCTATTGCTGATCAGTTTTGGAGTCTTTGGGCCAGATTCACTCCCTAAGACGCACCAGCACATTCTGATGTACCTCATGATCGGCTCCCCCCTCCCGCATTGCTGTTAAATCTTCCTGGAGCTGGGACACTGGGTAGCAAGGAGCCTGCAGCCCCCTCTGTGCTGGAGGAATGAGAGCAGCCCTGAAACTGGGCAGGGGCGGCCTTGAGGGAATGAAACCAATGTAGCCGTGAGAGGCCCTGATGCAGCACCTCTGCCATGCAGCTTGTGCCAGTCGGGCTTCTCTAGATTCCAGCGAGGATTCAAAGCTTCTCTGCTCCAGCAGAAAACCTGGGGGAGGGAAGCAGGGCTCCTGCAGGATAAATCTTCCTGCTGGCAGAGCTTCCAGTACCCCCAAGGGCACAGGGCATTGCACACTGCACCCCAACACACACAAACGCACACATTTGTGTGGGAGGAATCAGCTCTGGATTTATTTGGATAAATCCTGCTCACTTCAAAATTGCAAAACTTCTTCTGGCTTCAGTGAGTGAATGGGGGAGTGAGGAGCCAGGACTTGGCCCTTGGATTCTTGGCCCTGTTGGATAATGGACCAAACAGACATTTCTGTTGGATCCCAAATTATTGATGTATTTATTGGGATTAAAATTACTAAAGCGATGCCCAGCCAAGGCTCTAGGCATGCGGACGGCATGGATAACACTCAAATCCCTGCAGCATGAAGTGACCATTTCAACAGGAACTCAGCCAGACAGACACCCACAGAAACTCCTTCCCACCCTTTTCTCATTATGTGACACAGAGCCTGGGTCCTTCCCACCTGCACCCCCAAACAAGTGTCTGTTGCAGTGTGCCCAGAAGGTCACCAGATTTGGGCTATTTTGGCCCAAAGGGGACAACACCCTGCCAGCCACCCCTCTCCTTTATAAAAAGGGGGAACCAGCTCAGGTGCCCCCGCTACTCAGGGAGGCTGGTCCCAGACCATTCAGGACTTTATAAATCATCACCAACACCTTAACCTCCACCCAGAGATGGGCAGCCAGTGCAGACCCTCCAGCACGGCTGTAACATGCTCCCAGCAAGATGTGCTGATCAGTGAGTCGCTGCTATTTGCACCAGCTCCGTTCTCTGAATGGTTCTAAGGTACAGCCCCACATTAGGGTCATTTGAATAGTCCAATCTCAAGGTTACAAACACCTTGATAACAGTGGCAAGGTCTAATCCCAAAAGGAAAAGTCACAACGTCCAAGCCAGGTACCGATGGTAAAAAGATGACTCTAAAAGTTACTACCCTCATTCCAGTTGACCCAGCTCCCCTGGTGAAGCACAGAGGAGACTTACCTGCAACGTCCTGAATTGTGAGGAGAAGAAGCCACAGCACTGGAGTGGAGAGATGTCCCTTCATTGCCAGCCTGACTTGCTGTCCCCTCACTCACTGCACTGGCTGCCCCTAAACACCTGCCAGGGCTCCTCTGTGTCTGACAAGTGACAACAAAGCACTGGAAGGGAAATATATAGATTCAGAGGCTGGCATCAGCTGCGGGAAGGAACCAATAGCAAACTCATCTGCCTTTTTAGTTATTATCAGTGGTTTTATCTGTGACTTTATGCAGCTAAAACATCCAATAAAACTCGAAAGCAACAAACATCACCATATATGAGTGATGAGCCCCCTCCTGATGTCAGGTTTACCACAGCCTCAGATCATCGGGTAACCCCCAATCTCTGGAGCCAGAAGGAAAAGTTCTGCACAAACTGTAGCCGTGCTGTTTCTCACCCTGATAGATTCTATATCATATTAAACATGAACTGGGAGACATTAGAGGCAGGTTATTTTATAAACTAGGAAAGAAATCTCTTGTGCCAAAGGTGATCATTACAAGACCAATTCCCAGTATAGGACATGCCCAATTACAGACAAGGACAACTCACTAGAACCAGGTTGTGTTGCTCAGATCAGCTTTATAGAAGAAGAATTACTCAGCAGCATCTGAAATATTGACAGTTCTTCCACTACTAGGCCTTGGGGCAGGGGGGAAAGTGGGCCGCTACAACATACCAGTAGAAAGTGGCTGCCGGTAGCAGCCCGTACACAGATGATGTTAAAGTGCTGCCATGGCAGCGCTTTAACATCATTGCCCCCCCCACCCAGGCTGCCAAAGAGGGGGCACAAAAGGGGCAGCTGCCCCAGGGGCCAGCAATTTAAAATTGAAATCACCGACGGAGCCCCGGGCAGCACAGGCCAGGGAGCGCGGATGGGCTGGCTGGGGGAGGCTGACTCCCAGCCCCACCCCTTCTGCCCAAGGCCCCGTCCTTTCCAGGGGCCCAGAGTCAGGCCCCTGTACTGGTAAGTGCTTAATGTTACTTTCACCCTGGCCTTGGGGTTTCCTGTCTAGACCATGATCCTTAGTGGTAGAGGCAGAGCATAGGGCTTCCTGAGTAGGCCATGACCCTCTCTTGCAGTAGCAGGAGGTCCTGCACACACCATGCCCATCAGTGCTATCAGCAGCAGGAGGGCTCCTTGGAAACAAGCTTACTTGATTCATGGGACACAGACAATTCAAGGAACAGACACAAGGCAAGGGAATAGCACAGAATAATGACTGGCTGGCACCACACCTACCTCCTGCTCTTCCTCAAGAGAATTGTTACAAATACTTGGATTAAGGGAAACGTCTTTAACTTTTTACCTTTGCATTTTCTCCCCTGCTGCCCTATCTATATGGAGAAAACTCCCTGAGAAAATCTCTGGAACCAACACCTGATCCTCCTTTGAATCCCTCCTTGAGACTCTGTTCTGTTGTGATTCCGGAAAAACACTTGGCAGGGGAGGTGTTTATGTGCCTCTTCCCCTTCCTTCTGTCTCCTTATTTTTAAGAAACTCTGCACCCCAATCCTTCCATTCCCCCTCACTCTCCCCTCCCACTACTTAAACAAACAGTAATGACAAAAAGGAAATTGCACCAAAGTGGTATAAGGGGTCTACCGTCAATCAAACATTAACCCCGCCCCTTTACCCTTAAGTCCCGCCCACCTGTCACCAAAAGTCCTGCTTATGGGGTATTACCTCCGGGGTCAATCTGGACAGATGACCAGGAGCCAGGTCTGTCATGTGACCCCTCTAAGAACTCCTCCCACTGCCCTCTACCAATCAGGATGGTTTTTGCCCTGGTAGGACTCCTCCAAGAGGTGATTTGACCAATCAAGGGGAGTTCCAGGGAGGGTTGACCCATCCAGAAGTGGGTCGTGTGATGCCCTCTAACAACTCCGCCCACTGCCCTCTACCAATCAGAATGGGTTTCAGCTGCTGGGGACCACCCCCGAGAGGATATTTGACCTATCGGGGGAGTTCTGGGGCAGGGTGACCCATCTAGGTTGCCTCCCTCATTCATTAAGGGGCCCACACTTTCCTGTGACTTTAATTTTCCTGATATCTGCTGGGAGAGCAATACAGCGGTGCATAGACAATCCAGGAAGTTTTTGGAAAGCATAGGGGACAATTTCCTAGTGCAAGTGCTAGAGGAGCCAACTAGGGGGGGAGCTTTTCTTGACCTGCTGCTCACAAACCGGGAAGAATTAGTAGGGGAAGCAAAAGTGGATGGGAATCTGGGAGGCAGTGACCATGAGTTGGTTGAGTTCAGGATCCTGACACAGGGAAGAATGGTAATCAGCAGGATACGGACCCTGGACTTCAGGAAAGCAGACTTCGACTCCCTCAGAGAACGGATGGGTAGGATTCCCTGGGGGACTAACATGAAGGGGAAAGGAGTCCAGGAGAGCTGGCTGTATTTCAAGGAATCCCTGTTGAGGTTACAGGACAAACCATCCCGATGTGTCGAAAGAATAGTAAATATGGCAGGCGACCAGCTTGGCTTAACAGTGAAATCCTTGCGTATCTTAAACATAAAAAAGAAGCTTACAAGAAGTGGAAGATTGGACAAATGACCAGGGAAGAGTATAAAAATATTGCTCGGGCATGTAGGAATGAAATTAGGAGGGCCAAATCGCACCTGGAGCTGCAGCTAGCGAGAGATGTTAAGAGTAACAAGAAGGGTTTCTTCAGGTATGTTGGCAACAAGAAGAAAGCCAAGGAAAGTGTGGGCCCCTTAATGAATGAGGGAGGCAACCTAGTGACAGAGGATGTGGAAAAAGCTAATGTACTCAATGCTTTTTTTGCCTCTGTCTTCACGAACAAGGTCAGCTCCCAGACTGCTGCGCTGGGCATCACATCATGGGGAATAGATGGCCAGCCCTCTGTGGAGAAAGAGGTGGTTAGGGACTATTTAGAAAAGCTGGACGTGCACAAGTCCATGGGCCGGACGAGTTGCATCCGAGAGTGCTAAAGGAACTGGTGGCTGTGATTGCAGAGCCATTGGCCATTATCTTTGAAAACTCGTGGTGAACGGGGGAAGTCCCGGATGACTGGAAAAAGGCTAATGTAGTGCCAATCTTTAAAAAAGGGAAGAAGGAGGATCCTGGGAACTACAGGCCAGTCAGCCTCACCTCAGTCCCCAGAAAAATCATTGAACAGGTCCTCAAAGAATCAATCCTGAAGCACTTACATGAGAGGAAAGTGATCAGGAACAGCCAGCATGGATTCACCAAGGGAAGGTCATGCCTGACTAATCTAATCGCCTTTTATGATGAGATTACTGGTTCTGTGGATGAAGGGAAAGCAGTGGATGTATTGTATCTTGACTTTAGCAATGCTTTTGACACGGTCTCCCACAGTATTCTTGTCAGCAAGTTAAAGAAGTATGGGCTGGATGAATGCTCTATAAGGTGGGTAGAAAGTTGGCTAGATTGTCGGGCTCAACGGGTAGTGATCAATGGCTCCATGTCTAGTTGGCAGCCGGTGTCAAGTGGAGTGCCCCAGGGGTCGGTCCTGGGGCCAGTTTTGTTCAACATCTTCATAAATGATCTGGAGGATGGTGTGGATTGCACTCTCAGCAAATTTGTGGATGATACTAAACTGGGAGGAGTGGTAGATACGCTGGAAGGGAGGGATAGGATACAGAAGGACCTAGACAAATTGGAGGATTGGGCCAAAAGAAATCTGATGAGGTTCAATAAGGATAAGTGCAGGGTCCTGCACTTAGGATGGAAGAACCCAATGCACCGCTACAGACTAGGGACCGAATGGCTAGGCAGCAGTTCTGCGGAAAAGGACCTAGGGGTGACAGTGGACGAGAAGCTGGATATGAGTCAGCAGTGTGCCCTTGTTGCCAAGAAGGCCAATGGCATTTTGGGATGTATAAGTAGGGGCATAGCGAGCAGATTGAGGGACGTGATCGTCCCCCTCTATTCGACATTGGTGAGGCCTCACCTGGAGTACTGTGTCCAGTTTTGGGCCCCACACTACAAGAAGGATGTAGATAAATTGGGAAGAGTCCAGCGAAGGGCAACAAAAATGATTAGGGGTCTGGAACACATGACTTATGAGGAGAGGCTGAGGGAACTGGGATTGTTTCGTCTGCGGAAGAGAAGAATGAGGGGGGATTGATAGCTGCTTTCAACTACCTGAGAGGTGGTTCCAGAGAGGATGGTTCTAGACTATTCTCAGTGGTGGAAGAGGACAGGACAAGGAGTAATGGTCTCAAGTTGCAGTGGGGGAGGTTTAGGTTGGATATTAGGAAAAACTTTTTCACTAGGAGGGTGGTGAAACACTGGAATGCGTTGCCTAGGGAGGTGGTGGAATCTCCTTCCTTAGAAGTTTTTAAGGTCAGGCTTGACAAAGCCCTGGCTGGGATGATTTAATGGGGGATGGGTCCTGCTTTTGAGCAGGGGGTTGGACTAGATGACCTCCTGAGGTCCCTTCCAACCCTGATATTCTATGATTCTATGATTCTATGATCTGGAAGTGGTTTGTGTGACCCCTCTAAGAACTCTCCCCACCACCCTCTACCAATTGGGATGGGTTTTGTCAACAGAGGACCACAACAAGAACAGATTTGATCAAAATAGGGTAGGTTCCAGGGCAGAATGAACTGCCCAGCAGAGGGTCATATGACCTCTCTAAGAACTCCTCCCACCACCCTCTGCCAATCAGAGTGCAGCACCACCACCCCATAAGTCCCAGCCCTGGGCAGAAGAGGCCATCCCTTACTAAGAATGTGTGTTGTAGAAATCGTGGAAATGCTGAGAGGAAACATGGACTCCTTCACCACCCCCATGAAAACTTTGGACTTTGTTTTAGCACCAAGGGCCTTCGACCATCCGCAAAGAAAGCGCTACATCAGCGAGAGTTCCGAGGAGGAGGAGGGAGCAGCCAATGGGAGCCCTTTGGCCCAGCCATTGATGGGTACACCAGAACCTGACCCCGAAACCCAGCTGCTCATGAGACCCCCCGATAAGTGTGCTGGCCTCTCGTCGTCCACCCCCTTGGAGGAGGAAGGCAAACGCAGCTCAGAGG